GTCCTTGGAGACCTCAGCATGCAAGGCATCATCCCCCGAATTGTCAATGACATCTTCAATCACATATACTCCATGGAAGAGCATTTGGAATTCCACATCAAGGTTTCATACTTTGAGATCTACATGGACAAGATCCGGGATCTTCTCGATGGTATCCTCTGCTTATGTTTCAGTCTGTGGCTTTCTAATACTGGAAAGTATGCTGTGAACTTGTAGGGACTGTCCTTTTCTCCTTCAGTATCAAAGGTGAAGCTGAGTGTGCACGAAGACAAGAATCGCGTCCCTTATGTAAAGGGAGCAACAGAGAGGTTTGTGTCTAGCCCCGAGGAGGTCTTCGAGACGATCGAAGAAGGCAAAGCCAACCGTCACATTGCCGTCACAAGTGAGTTGCATGCTTGATTTGGCCATCACTTTTGTGCTTGAGGATATGTATTTGACCATTGTCTAACCTCATCCCTGCAGATATGAATGAGCACAGCAGTCGAAGTCATAGTGTCTTCCTCATAAATGTGAAGCAGGAGAATTTGGAGAATCAAAAGAAGCTGTCTGGCAAGCTTTACCTCGTTGATTTAGCTGGTAGTGAAAAGGTGAGCATTTCCAACTATCAAATCTCTAAGCATATGTTTAAAATAAAACTTAATCATTGGAATGCAGAAGAGAAAAATTAAAGGAAGTATTGACCCTATCTTTCCAGATACCTCTGCATCTGGAATTCATGGTTCAATGAGATACAGTCAGCCTCTAATTTGTTTGTTTACACAGGTGAGCAAGACAGGAGCTGAGGGAACAGTTCTAGATGAAGCAAAGAATATAAACAAGTCCCTGTCTGCACTGGGAAATGTCATATCTGCCCTTGCTGATGGCAATGTGAGCATGAACCCCTTAATCTCTAGTGACTTGGATTCTCTACTGAAACTAAGAGATGCCTTTCCCCTCCATTGTAGAAATCACACATCCCATATCGTGACTCCAAGCTCACGAGGATCTTGCAAGAATCTCTAGGAGGAAATGCTAGAACAACGATCATCATTTGCTGCTCACCTGCTTCGTACAACGATTCTGAGACTAAATCTACTCTGGAGTTCGGAAAGAGGTATTCATTATTTCTTTGTTTTTTTGTCTGTCTCTCAAAGACTGGATAATGTCTCACATCTGATTGGTTATCCTTAATAAATTTGGCATCAAATCTGATAATGCAGTCTCCAACCACTTCAACCCTTCCAGTCAAAGTGTACATCAGTTTCCAAGACCTCCACTGCACTCACTTCTCTCAAGACTTTCATTATGACCTGGAATATCATTTGAAACTCCAGATTGGAACCTGTGTGTGATTGGCCTTATTCTTCCCTTTATTTTCTCTTTTTGATTCTAGATTTTTTTTTTCCATTTTCTGTTTTGTTTCCATGTTGTTTCTCTTATTAATTTGCAAAGTGCTGCATTTCCTTGAGAAAGCTTCCAAGAGCTAAAAGCTAGGGTATTGATTTAATTCCATTGTGGAATAATTGTAACTTGTCTTTTGAACTTTAGTTTCTTGACTTATTTTCAAATTTTATCCATTCCTTGTGCATTGCGGGATATGTATTGCATTCTCTGTGCTTGTGTCACAGAGCGAAGACAATCAAGAATGTGGTGACAGTGAACGAGGAACTTACAGCCGAGGAATGGAAACGGCGATACGAAAGAGAGAGGGATAAAGTGAGTCGGCTGCGGGCTCAACTGGACCGCATGCAGGCAGAATTGTCCAGGTGGCGCGGTGGTGAGACTGTCTCTGCAGATGAACAGGTCAATCTGAAGGAAGCCTTCCAGGAGGCTAATGCTACCACTCCTGGTGCTGCTGGAGATATTATACCTGGCTCTTTCCCCAATGGTGACCCTCTTTCAACCATATTCTTTTGAATTGAGTAGTTCCTTGGTTTGGATTTTCCAATGTGATGTTGATAAAGCATGGTTCTAAAACCCAAGGATGATGCAAAAAAAAACTAATATGTAAAATTAAAAAAGAACTGATGTTCTAAGGGCCACTAAACTTATTTTCTTGTGGGCCACGATTTCTACAGGACATACTATATGTCATGTTACTAATCGGGGGAGGAACTGCTAAATCAAGGTGCAAGATGGAATAGTGAGAGAAACTGGGGGGAGTCTTCAGGTAGGGACTCTAATGCAGGTATGCAGCTAATGCCCCTTGTTTGCTGCAAGGTTTTCCACCTTTGGGGACTTTCTCACAGAAAGTTTAGTGCTAAACTAAAATCATCATTGTTTGGTACTGAATGTTTCAGAGAAATAAAATCCAGGATAGTCCCATGCTGACTTCAAATGAGTAGAATTTCTTTGAAGAAGCTTGATTTTTTGGGAAAGTGTATTCCTCATCAGAAGTAAGATGTTCAAGTCTTGAAAGCTTTGAAAAAATTTTTCCTACTTTATGAGAATGATATGGGAGTAGGAAGTTCTGAAGGAAGCATTCAGGGGAAACTTCTTTAACTTGTATGACAAGCCATGGACAATCTACAGACCTATCAAGAGATCACTACATTGTTCCCACAAGTCATTGATAAGAAGGAATCTGAGGGAAAATATAACTTATACTTTACTCTGCCTTGTTAAATCAACTGAGATCATATGCAAGACACGGAAGGCAAGGAAATGATGTAATACTTGTGTCTCTCTCATGCAGTGGGTGTTAGCTGCATGTCCCCACGATAGACTGTCATAGAGACATGCTGCCAAGTTCCATATTCTTTGGGTTCATGCATTTTGCATAAATATTTTTCTTTGATCTAAACAGCCCTGCCACCTGCTCCACCTGTGCCAGTAGTGACTGTTTCTGCCCTGTCTGGAGACGAACGGCTAACATTTGAAGAGGAGAGGGAACGACTATACAAGCAACTGGATGATAAGGATGAGGAAATCAACCAGATGTCTCAAATGATTGAAAAGCTCAAAGACCAAATGCTTGAGCAAGAAGAGGTGGGATCTTTTTGCAATACTGTATTTCACTACATGTGGAATAGTCTTAATTTTTACTCCTTGCTTATTGGATGTGTGGGATATCTTATAACAGATGTGACTTTGCCACGGTGCATTTTGAATGCATCATTAGATATACATCATGACACCCAAGTGTATTACCAGGGCCATTATCATGTGCATAATTGACCTGCTCTATAATATGATCAAATTGTATGTATCACAAAAGACAGTGCAAACACCCATTTATCAATCATTTCATGCTATAGAGTGGGCCAGTAATGGTGTTCACTTCAAAGTTTCTTATAATCAGGAAGAATGATTCTATTTTTTTTTAGCCTAATTGATCATGTACTCATTATGCTCATGGCCTAAATAGCATGTTTGAAATGGTTTCCTGCATTTTCTTTCTGATTTTAATAAAGTTTCACCACCATCACTGATTCAGAAGTTCTGATGTCTTGAAACTGTGAAGACAATATTTTTCCATCCTGCTCCATAAGTACTCAATGTAATCAATGTACATCACCCAATAAGAGGGTAAAATGAGCATAACTTGCTCAGGGGCTCCTTATGTGCCTTTGTATTTGATATGGGAAACATTCACAAGACTACATTCAAATGTATTACTCCATCAGCCCTTCTGGGATTCTATTCAGCATTACTTCATTCTTGTGGGTTTAATTTTTAGAACTTCTGTCTCCTTGCTGTTACATTGTGTTTGTTTTCTCAATATACCTTAAGGTGGATCATTGTTATCTTGCATCTATGTAGAACTTTAGACTTCTCTTTTGCCCTGGTTGTGCTTTTGTCATTAAAAGGGGTGTTAATGCAGGGAAAGAAGATAAATTTATTGACTTGGAGACACAGAGTGTGCACAAGAGAATGTCCATGCCCCAGGTTTGTTCTGCTTACTTAGTGTGGCGTGGCTCTCATTGAGAACTTCAGTTGGCCAAAGGTCCAAGTAGTCTCTGCTTTATTTTTCAGGCAGTTATTATCATTGATTGTGCTGTCATACAGCTGGGATTTAAGTTGCATGAAATTTACTCCATTCTTATGGCTTAGGTAGGTTGAATGCACAATCTCACCCTCATATATGCAGGGATTTCCTTATAAATCAAAATGGTATGTTCTCTAGCGTGAAAGTCAGTGGAAACCTTATAAACATGGAAACATGGAACGTGGAAACATATATCCTGTGTTTTTGAAAATTAGCTTGTTGTGAATTTTCTCCCAGAGAGGGTACCCTACCCAGACAGTGACTTTTCCAAGAATCAACCAAATTGTGAATGTTGTTCAATGTTCAGGTGATCACATCAAGCCGGAAGGATTATGAGAACGTCCAGGCCGAGATGTCTCGGATCCAGCAGGAGAATGAGTCAGCCAAGGAAGAGGTAAAGGAGGTGCTTCAGGNATGTTCAGGTGATCACATCAAGCCGGAAGGATTATGAGAACGTCCAGGCCGAGATGTCTCGGATCCAGCAGGAGAATGAGTCAGCCAAGGAAGAGGTAAAGGAGGTGCTTCAGGCCCTGGAGGAACTTGCCCTGAATTATGACCAAAAGAGCCAGGAGGCAGAGAGCAAGATGCGTGAAAATGAAAGCCTCTCTGAGGAGGTGCAGCAGAAACAGGTTTGGCTTCCTTCACTTTTATTCTGATAGTTTCATTGTCCACAGATGCAATGGGTTTGAGACAGAAAATGAAATTAGTTTTTGGCCAATATGCCTAATATGTCTCATTTTATGCCTGTTTTTTGCAAAGTCAAAGTGATTTGTGATTGTGGTAATTTCTTATTATTTGTGTTTAATATTAGATTCTGCATTTTTACTCCTGAGTTCCTCTAATTGCTCTTTCCAGACAGATGGCCTTCATAATGATTGCATGCATTATAATGCATCTCAGGAAGATTGTTTTTCTTTCAGTATATAGGGTGGGCCATAAGTAACTACATGAATTATTTTTTAAACCCCTTTAACAATTTTAAAGAATTGCATTTTCTGATGTCAAGGAACTTGGGATGCTTCCACATGGGTACCAACAATTAGAATGCTTTTTATTTTAACTCTGGCTCTGCATATCTGCAACATTTCATGTGAAATGATGCTAATTCCTGATTTGATTTTTAGCTTTTTTTTTGGCCAGATCACAAATACAATAGCCGTGAGTCTCTGTTTTTACATTACTGCAAACAAAGAAATAGGTTGAAGTCAAATCCAAAAATCAGGCTGCCAAGGCAGGGAATCTTCCTTCGCTTCTCAGATGAGTAACTGGACACCATTGTGAACAATATGTGTAGCAAAAAGAAGAAAAAATGTTTTCTTTCCTATATCCCAGAATATTATGCTTCCACCTAAAAAAAAAACTTGTGTACTTGCTCATGGCTCACCCTCTACATGCTTAGCCATCCAAGTGCCTCAGTGCGACCTGCTTTTTCATTCCCTTATTCATGCTACCTCCACATTCCCTTCTGATTGCTTGGGAGCCACACTTATGGCATTGGCACAGCACTGAAAAAATGTGGAACATAAACTGTGTGGTTGCATGTTTCCCATATTCCACACCCTTTCCATGAGGATAATCATGCAGTCTGGCAATGTTGTAGTTCTAGGGATCACAGGAAATATCTACAAAATGAAGACTTTCCTTCCTGAGATGCGTTTTTTTTCCTAACTGAATGTCATGCTTCATACATAAAAAAATTTAAGTTTTCCAAGAGAATGTTCCTGATGTAAATAGCAGACTAACAAATTTCAATCTCCAGTGTAGCTGGATGCATGATGGTTACACTCTGGAAAGAGTTTCAACCTTCTCTGGTAAATTTTTATTGTAACATTATGATGTATGTACTATCTTCCTCAACAAAGGACCACAAACATTAAAGAGTAAAAAAGAAAAACCAAGCTGAATTTTGTTCAGTGATTGAGTTGTGGCACTTGAAACGGGACATAAATTTGGGTCTCTATTTGATGGAGTTTGGCTTCTATATGGATTTTCAGAGTCTGCTGCATACTACCAATTCAGAGTTGCAGCAGAGCAAGGACATGGCCATGCTGCAGAGAAGACGTATTAGTGAGATGCTTACAAGTCTCCTCAAGGATCTCAGTGAAATTGCCACTACCTTGGGGCNTTTTTTTTAGCCTAATTGATCATGTACTCATTATGCTCATGGCCTAAATAGCATGTTTGAAATGGTTTCCTGCATTTTCTTTCTGATTTTAATAAAGTTTCACCACCATCACTGATTCAGAAGTTCTGATGTCTTGAAACTGTGAAGACAATATTTTTCCATCCTGCTCCATAAGTACTCAATGTAATCAATGTACATCACCCAATAAGAGGGTAAAATGAGCATAACTTGCTCAGGGGCTCCTTATGTGCCCTAGTATTTGATATGGGAAACATTCACAAGACTACATTCAAATGTATTACTCCATCAGCTCTACTAGGATTCTATTCAGCATTACTTCATTCTTGTGGGTTTAATTTTTAGAACTTCTGTTTCCTTGCTGTTACATTGTGTTTGTTTTCTCAATATACCTTAAGGTGGATCATTGTTATCTTGCATCTATGTAGAAGTTTAGACTTCTCTTTTGCCCTGGTTGTGCTTTTGTCATTAAAAGGGGTGTTAGTGCAGGAAAAGAAGATAAATTTATTGACTTCGAGACACAGAGTGTGCACAAGAGAATGTCTATGCCCCAGGTTTGTTCTGCTTACTTAGTGTGGCGTGGCTCTCATTTAGAACTTCAGTTGGCCAAGGGTCCAAGTAGTCTGTGCTTTATTTTTCAGGCAGTTATTATCATTGATTGTGCTGTCATACAGCTGAGATTTAAGTTGCATGAAATTTACTCCATTCTTATGGCTTAGGTAGGTTGAATGCACAATCTCACCCTCATATATGCAGGGATTTCCTTATAAATCAAAATGGTATGTTCTCTAGCATGAAAGTCAGTGGAAACCTTTTACATATATCCTGTGTTTTTGAAAATTAGCTTGTTGTGAATTTTCTCCCAGAGAGGGTACCCTACCCAGACGGTGACTTTTCCAAGAATCAACAAATCGTGAATGTTGTTCAATGTTCAGGTGATCACATCAAGCCGGAAGGATTATGAGAACGTCCAGGCTGAGATGTCTCGGATCCAGCAGGAGAATGAGTCAGCCAAGGAAGAGGTAAAGGAGGTGCTTCAGGCCCTGGAGGAACTTGCCCTGAATTATGACCAAAAGAGCCAGGAGGCAGAGAGCAAGATGCGTGAAAATGAAAGCCTCTCTGAGGAGGTGCAGCAGAAACAGGTTTGGCTTCCTTCACTTTTATTCTGATAGTTTCATTGTCCACAGATGCAATGGGTTTGAGACAGAAAATGAAATGTTTTTGTTTTTGGCCAATATGCCTAATATGTCTCATTTTATGCCTGTTTTTTGCAAAGTCAAAGTGATTTGTGATTGTGGTAATTTCTTATTATTTGTGTTTAATATTGGATTCTGCATTTTTACTCCTGAGTTCCTCTAATTGCTCTTTCCAGACAGATGGCCTTCATAATGATTGCATGCATTATCCTGCATCTCAGGAAGATTGTTTTTCTTTCAGTATATAGGGTGGGCCATAAGTAACTACATGAATTATTTTTTAAACCCCTTTAACACTTTTAAAGAATTGCATTTTCTGATGTCAAGGAACTTAGGATGCTTCCACATGGGTGCCAAAAATTAGAATGCTTTTTATTTTAACTCTGGCTCTGCATATCTGCAACATTTCATGTGAAATGATGCTAATTGCTGATTTGATTTTTATCTTTTTTTTTTGGCCAGATCACAAATACAATAGCTGTGAATCTCTGTTTTTACATTACTGCAAACAAAGAAATAGGTTGAAGTCAAATCCAAAAATCAGGCTGCCAAGGCAGGGAATCTTCCTTTGCTTCTCGGATGAGTAACTGGACACCATTGTGAACAATATGTGCAGCAAAAAGAAGAAAAAATGTTTTCTTTCCTATACCCCAGAATATTATGCTTCCACCTAAAAAAAAACTTGTGTACTTGCTCATGGCTCACCCTCTACATGCTTAGCCATCCAAGTGCCTCAGTGCGACCTGCTTTTTCATTCCCTTATTCATGCTACCTCCAAATTCCCTTCTGATTGCTTGGGAGCCACACTTATGGCATTGGCACAGCACTGAAAAAATGTGAAACATAAACTGTGTGGTTGCATGTTTCCCACATTCCTCACCCTTTCCATGAGGATAATCATGCAGTCTGGCAATGTTGTAGTTCTAGGGATCACAGGAAAAATCTACAAAATGAAGACTTTCCTTCCAGAGATGCGTTTTTTTTTCCTAACTGAATGTCATGCTTCATACAAAAAATAATTTAAGTTTTCCAAGAGAATGTTCCTGATGTAAATAGCAGACTAACGAATTTCAATCTCCAGTGTAGCTGGATGCATGATGGTTACACTCTGGAAAGAGTTTCAACCTTCTCTGGTAAATTTTTATTGTAACATTATAATGTATGTACTATCTTCCTCAACAAAGGACCACAAACATTAAAGAGTAAAAAAGATAAACCAAGCTGAATTTTGTTCAGTGATTGAGTTGTGGCACTTGAAACGGGACATGAATTTGGGTCTCTATTTGATGGAGTTTGGCTTCTATATGGATTTTCAGAGTCTGCTGCATACTACCAATTCAGAGTTGCAGCAGAGCAAGGACATGGCCATGCTGCAGAGAAGACGTATTAGTGAGATGCTTACAAGTCTCCTCAAGGATCTCAGTGAAATTGCCACTACCTTGGGGCAGAACACTGCAGATGTGAAGGTAAACTATGTCATCATTTTTAATTATAGCTGAAACTGCTTCTGTAAATGATTATCATGGTTCTGTTTTCCTACAAGCAGAAATCCAGTTTGCCTCTCTGTGAAACATTGAGTTATGAGTATCTTACATGCTGTTCTCTTTTCCATGGACAGATGTTGTCAAATGAAGAGAACGGGAAAATGGAGGAAGAATTCACAGTGGCCCGCTTGGTTGTCTCCAAGATGAGATCTGAAGTGAAAAATCTTGCCCAGAAGTGTGAAGCCATGTCTTCAAACCAGACTGAGTTTCAAATGAAGAGAATGGGAAAATGGAGGAAGAATTCACAGTGGCCCGCTTGGTTGTCTCCAAGATGAGATCTGAAGTGAAAAATCTTGCCCAGAAGTGTGAAGCCATGTCTTCAAACCAGACTGAGTTGAAGTCAAAGGTATCTCCCATCTTGAGGATTCCTCATTATGATTTTGGTTGACTGTGTATCAATTGCCTCAACTTCTGTTTTGCCTTCCCAGATGGAGACGTATGAGAAAGAATTGTCAACCTGTCGTCTGAACATGCAAGGCTATGAGGCACGTGTGAAAAGCCTCCAGGAGTCGATGAAAGAGGGGGAAAACCGTAAGAGAGCACTTGAAGAGACTGTGGATGCTTTACAAGAGGAGTGCGCTAAGCTCAAGGCTCAAGGTTGATGTCTTTCTACCATCTGCCTTGACCTGTGGCTTCAAAGTGCTACCAACAAGCTTCCTGACCACCTTTTTCTTTCAACAGAACAAATGACTGCAGTGGCGAGTAAGGAGCGAGCAGAAAAAGAGGAAGTGCATCGTATCAAGGAAGCCCTGGAGCAGCAGATCCTGGTCGTGTCTCTCGTCGTAGTCGCGGTTGAACGACGAGAAGCACTACTCTATCGACTGTTCGTCGTCTGGTAGCTTCTTGACTTCCTCATTCTCTTAGTAAGGAGATAAAGTCATCAGTTCTTTATCTGCTTCTTATCCACTCATTTTTGACATTTCTATACTGAATTCCTCATGATTTTCTCTGCAGCATGAACCAGAAGTTGAACCTGTCTCAGGAGAAGCTGCTGATAGACTATGAACGTCTGAAGAAGATCGAAGAGGATAAGACCCAAAAACTCAGAGAACTTACGTCAGTCCCTCTCACCAAATATATTTTCTTTCTCCTTGACTTAATTTGCAAAAGACACGTCTTCACTTTGTGTAATCTCTAGATTGAAAGCTTGAATCTGGTTTTACTATTGTATCTTGACATTCCAAATGAGGTGTATTCCTGAAAAATTTGTGTTTGAAAAACTTTCATTATAGAATGCTGAGTGACCAGAGAGAGCTAGCCAAGCAGGACCTGAAGGGGCTTGAGGAAACTGTTGCCAAGGAGTTGCAGACCCTTCACAATCTGCGCAAAATGTTTGTTCAAGACCTTCAAAACAGGGTCGAGAAAGTGGGTGTGATTGATTTTCATCACCTAGGCAAGTTCAAGAATGGAGATTTTCTGTCTGTCCTTTCTTCTGTCTCAGAGTGCAGCAGGAGAGGAAGTGGAGGAAGGAGGATCACTGGCTCAAAAACAGAAGATCAGCTTCTTGGAGAACAACCTCGATCAGCTGACCAAGGTCCACAAGCAACTGGTTCGTGACAATGCAGATCTGCGCTGCGAATTGCCCAAGCTGGAAAAGAGGCTGAGGGCTACGATGGAGCGTGTGAAGGCTCTGGAAGGTGCGCTCAAGGAAGCCAAGGAGAGTGCTATACGGGACCGCAAGCGATATCAGTTTGAAGTGGACCGCATCAAGGAAGTATGGCGACAAAAGAATCTCGCCCGACGTGGTCATGCTGCCCAAATAGGTCCGTTTTTCTCCCTAAGATTCCTCATTTTGCTTCAACTACCTTTATCTCAAGCATTGATTTATTTCTTAAATCTGGATTCTTGTGATATCCATCTGGCTTGTGGTTGTCAAGAAAAACAGAAACAGGAAGTGGATCTGCTTCATGGTACAGAACTCATGTTGGGCTCAAAGGCAAAATTTCATTATGTATCTAAGGAGAGAGAAGCAGACCAGTAAGCACAGCTGCAAATTTTTCATTTGTCCAAGAAAGGCAGTAAGGATATACAGGATGGTGCAAAAGTAGGTGTTTTTAGCTGTTACTTCTTTATTACTTACTATTACTTTTTAGTTATTAATTTTATTATCATTTGTTTGTTACTTTTCCAGTACCTCTGTAACAGCCATTTTTGTCACTCAAAAGTCAGGTTCCCTGCCATTATCCTCTACCTTTTAATAGAAAAATAAAATGACTCTTGTCCCAAACTATGATTTAACTAGATAACAGTGAAAAGCATGGAAACCAATTCTCCATTTAGTAACTGACAACATACCAAAGAGAAAGTCTTAAATGTGGTATAATTTAACAGGAGAAACCTGAAGTAATGACCTGAACTGCTTCACATTCTCAGAAAAAGAATTTCAGAAGCTGGAATTATTAATTTCATCTCCTGAGCATCATGGATTCTCATACTCTGCCAGAATAGAAATTAAATAGCCAGGAGATTGATGGGAGTGCTTTTTTTTTTATAGATCTATACCTTGTGTTTGACTTTTGTCAACTGATATATAGGACATGTCTTTCTCAATGACTTTCTTGTTGTCCTTCTTATCATCTGATTGGAAAGAAAGTTCTCGGAATTTCTTGAATATCCAGTACAATTTTTTTCCAGAGCATGCTAGAATGTTCTGCGTGTGTTTATAAGTAGGTCGTGTCCTTCGGCATACAACCGTATATTAT